ATTGTATAATATTATATTATTGAATAATACAGGGTGTCTCAAAGAAACGTATACACCCTTTAATACCTTATTCTTTTTAATTTATTTTTTCTTTCCTAGGTACAACCCACTTAAGATAATAGCTGATTTTAGACTAGACTTTGAAAAACGTAAATATATTTTAAAGTGCTACCATAAGCGTGAAAACATACTGGAAGTGCAAAGACTGTTTAATTAAACAGTAAAATATATACTGTCTTTATAATCAGGTAAAGTGTGTATACATTTCTTTGGGACACCCTGTATATTAATAAATTTTTATACAATAATATTATACAGTAAAATTTGAAAAAGGTGATATGTTCATATGTTACATATTTTTACACAAATTGCCTTATAATTTTATTCTGAAAAAGTATCTGGTAATATTTTGATATTTATTTTAAATATATATTGATCTTTAATATTTATGGTATTTTTTTTGTATTTGAATATGAATCATGTAGATTGAATTTATTAAAAAAATATACCAAACTGTTATTTATATTTTGTCAAAAACTGTTCGGTGAATTTACCATAAGGAATTTATCTATATTCATTACTATAATTTCCTCGAACCTACTATTTAATATAATATCTATATTTAATAAATAACATTTAATATAAATAGAAAATTCTGTATGTCCATTATAATATTATGCAATCGTTAACTATGTTATCAAAATTTGTTATTACTTAATATAACACGTACACCTAATAAATATTATTAAACAAATTTAATTTATTAAATATTATTCAATATAAATACAAAATTCACATTTAACATTTACATATAACGTATATTTAATTTAATTACAATTTACCATCAATCTATACAATATTTATATCGAATAAATATCAATCTCCCAAACTCATTAAGCGAACGCTTCATTCCAAAGTCATTTACCCCCACCACAAAATTCGCAAATTACTATCATCTCGTGGCTCATCACACCAAACTAAACCCATTCGCAGAACAATAAAAAAAAAACCCCTACTCCCTTCTCTCAAATCGCTTCCTTCATCCCAGAAGAAAGCTGTAGCCAACAATAGAGGTGGCGAATAAGAAAGCGAAGGAAGCCATAATGTATACCTCCAACACGTCGT